AAAAACAGATATAACATGAATATAGGGTTTTAGGGGATATCTCAGGTTTCAGAGGGGCTTAAACGGTTTACACTGTCACTCGGAAGCTCCGGCGTTGAGGTTTTCAGCACAAACTAGGGTCTATAGGGTTTATGGGTATATACATATATATATATATATATGCACATGTATAAGAAGCCTAAACGCATTAGTGACTAGAATGGGGTTTGAGTTGAAGTTTGCTATCCTTCTGATAGGTAACCCTAGGGAATAGTGCATCTAAGTATTCATGCTTCTTTTGGGAGTCAATGACCTGCAATTTCAGTCGCACCCTGTAACTGGGACCCTCACTTCGCTCTGATGTACATGACGAAAGCTCCGGGTCTTTTCCTTGAACATGCCAAGCCAAGACTGGTATCGCTAAAATTTAAGAACAGTGTCATCATTAATATCACTATTGCCAATATGATTAATAGTTGTGTTCTAATGAACAGGCCAAGCCAAGACTCCTTTTAGCATCGCCAGACGCGTAGAACTGTCTTCTTGCAGCAAGCCCACAAACCCGGAGACTTCCGCCTTCTCACCGCCTTCTCACTTAGGCCTTTGAGGGGTTCCTAGTGTTGATGATATAAATCCTGCTTTACCTTCCTAAGGATGCTAAACTGTGCAAATTATGGCCTTTTTTCCTTGTTATGGGTAATGCAGAATTTTTTCCACGACCGTATGTAGGTACTTTAAGAGGAGTTAAGGGTTTTGAAGGCCCAGGTATATACTATACTAGCTACATGGAGCCTTCGGGCTAGGCCCCGGCAACATTCTTATGTCGGGCCTCGGCAGCAAGGCGCTCCAATCGCTCGGCCAAGCGTTCGAGCTGCTTCTGGCGAGAAAGGCTCACGGCAGTTGATGGGATAATTGGTAGTTGAAGGGGCAACCCACAGGATTCATCAACATAAATCCTGCACTATACCCCATAACAAGGAATGTACCATAATTCCCATAGTTTAGGGTCCTTAAGGTAATGCAGGATTTATGTCATCAACCGCATGTCACCCTAGAGGAGACTACATCTAACAGGTTTCCAGAAGTGCCACCTACTTTGGGGTTCAGGAACCCTAAACCCTAAACGGTCTTCGGCTTTCGGCGGGCTCTTTGGCGCATCTTAGTTTGAAATCTTGTAGGCACCTGACCCCGAGGCTCCATGTGCTACTGGAGTATCTACCTACATCAAGCCTGAAAGTGCCTACAGAGAGGAGTCCCTCTAAGCTCGAAGTATATACTACCTAGGCACATGGAGCCAAAGGGTGATGGTTTGCTCTGACCCCGCCTTCTCCGAATCGTCCGGCAGATCGGCCATGACCCGAGCCCACCAACCTTTGCAAAATCGGCTGGGATTTAAGGTCTACGGTTTTGGAGTGGTAGCTCGGGTACGGCTCGCGGTTATGGGCTTCTGGGTTGAGTGGTTTGGGGGCGTAGAGGGTGTCGGAGGCATCAGATCGAAACAGCTTTGGAAAGCGATGTACATACTTTGCAGATGCGGAACTCAGGTGAGGAAGAGATGAGAGTCGAAATTCTTACGCTTCTTCGTGCTGTATGCCCGGATGCAAACCGCGGAACACAAGTGCTTCCATGATGTCAATGGGGTTTTGGGGTATGTTAGCATGTAGGGCATGTTAGCGTGTACTCATTTTGGGAGTACAAAGGGGACATCAATATCAACATATGCTAACTATTCCCGCCCCTATGGCAGCCTCTAACCCCTTTGAAACTTGAAGCATCTAGAATCCAATGTGGGGGCCTTAGTCATTTGAAAAGGGTTTTGGGGTATACTGGACTATGTTCATAACAAGGAGCCCCAAAAGAGTCTTGGACAGTACTGGTAATCATTTAGGCCCCTATGTTAGACCCGAGTGTCTGCAGCACCGCGATACTTGGAGTCGGACTTCGCTTGCTCCGAAAACCAAGACCCTCGAATATGAAGGCCGCCAAAAGTAGTACAAATGGCCCGTTATAGTCCTTGTGAAGTTATTGTAAACCGCAACAAAAACTCGAGTTCAACCATGGGTCTAGGGTTGCAGGTGGTCTAGGGTTCAGGGCCGACCGGTTTGGGTCACCCTCACACTGACTGAGGCTTTTGGGGTTTTGGCCCTAGAGGGTTTGGGGTTCAGGATGTAGGGCAAACCCATACACAAGATCCTCAAACCCACATCCACAGACCATCCTTTGAAGAAGCCTCGTATGCAGCCTTGTCCGAATACTATTTTTTAAATATACTTAAGGTGGCGGTATGACGATTTTTGTATTCCTGGCGGCTGCAGTATTGGCCATTGCTGCGTGGCGTCTCTATTGGTGATCATGTGTGTTTCTTATGCGGTCCTCTCATGGTGGGCCTCCGCTCGCAAGCGATGCAGCGGCTCAGTGGCATGGAAGGACGAAGCCTCGAAAGAGATCATGTTGAAGCGTGCCAACAAGCATGGTGTTTGGCCTGTGGGGCCTTTGGGGCATCTTTTGCTGTTAGCACTAAGCCTTGAAAAGCCCTTCGCCCTCGTCTTGGTAGACCGTATGACTTAGGAGTGGCTACAATGACCCTTAGAGAACGCAACTCAACAGGAAACCCCATTGCAGACACGGGCAAAGTCCTATCGAAACTCCGTGGAAACAACGTCACGTATGCCAGCGTAGATCCTCAAACAGCGATAGAGTACCACAACGACAATGGTCAAGAAAACGACGACCAAGAAGAGCATCACGAGACCACCAAGAGATCACAGAGGGAGACGAATCACCGGCGCACACATACACACACGGCCAAACAGCTTTCCGGCGGGATGCAGTAGGACAGCTACAACGCTTGCCCCAAGGACTCGTGGGAATTAAAGAATCAACAAGAACTCTGCTAATCTCCCTTGGTAACCCGTGAACCGAGGGGCTCTGCAGCTCCTTCTCGCCAGCCATGGGCGGATACTAGTGGCCGGTTCTCTTTCGGTTCTGAGCTTGGGGGGGGGTTGAAGCTTCCGTCTTGGAGGGTAGGCTTCGTGGAGCTTTCAGTGTACGTGGGGGGATTTAGGGAATGACTTTCCTGCAGCTCCCTGCAGCTCAAAGATGTCAGAACCTGTTGAGTCTTATTTTTGTAGTCTTGGTTCCCGGTGGCTTTCCGGAGTTGGGCTCGTGGACGGGTAGCCTTGGGCTCTAAGGAAGCTGCAGGGTTTAAGGTGTTGGCTGTAGGAGTAAGGGTTTAGGGTTTAGGGTTTTAGGGTTTAGGGTTTTAGGGTTTAGGCCTCCGGGGTTTACTATTCAATTGGCCCATTAGGCGTTAGAGGAGTTTCGGGTTCGGGGTTTTTGTCCCTCTCGCATTGTTGAGAACCATGCTCACGGCGAGGTCTGCTTTGGGTTTAGGGTTTCGGGTTCGGGGTTTAGGGCTTCGGGCTTTCGGTGGGATATATCTTCCTACAGGGGTTCCGAGCCAGGGAGGCTGTTCGGGAGCAGGTGAAGAGTCGAAAAGTCCGGAGCCCGAAATCGAAGTTCGGGAGTGTTCGTGGGTTGTTGCGCTTTATTTTTAGTATTCAGATATTATTGGTATTCAAGGGCTCCACACCCTAAGAACTTGTGGGGATCCTTTGGGCTCTCTCTTTCGCCTCCCAGATAGAAGGACTGAGAGTTTGGGATGCGGAACTCACACAAGGGCTCAAGTTTTGGGACTTCTTATCAGGTAGGATCCTGATCATCGACGTGGTCACCGGGTTACAGTTAGGGTACGAGCATCGTCGCGATCAGCTTCTTCTCCAATACGACCCTGTCCTCGACTATCCTACCCTTTGCTACCAGCACGGCCATCTTCATTAGCAGCAGCATCATCATCACCATCATCATCATCAGCATCATCATCATAACAGCAATCGTCGTCACCGTTGTGGTCATGGGCTTCATATCTGTCATTAGTGCAACAGCGAAAAAGACAGAAATCCTCATCATCACAACCCTGCCACCACCACGCTCAGCTTTAGAAAGGATGCCGTGCGGACATGCAAGGACATGCACACAAAGGTCACAAAGGCATCCGGGCCAAGATGTTTGTTTGTATCTATATCTGTGTTTTCTGTATGATTATGTACAAGTGATTTTGTGTGTGCGTGTGGAAGACGCAGCGACACTCTCATGCACAAATGCACAGACAGATACATCCAATGTGGGATGGCGGTGTTAGACGGATCTGTTCGAGTGGCACATGCTTTAGTGCAACACATGGAAGCGACCAGCAAGAGATCTTGGTGGGAGTTGTGGTGTTCTCGAACTTGTAAGTTGTCCTTTAAGCCCTTTGAAAATTATTTACTATTATGGTTCTCTTCAAAATAGTAAGGGAAATTCAAAAAGATCCCAAAAGACATCCCAGACTTGTAAGGGATCTCGAGTTTCAGGCTTCCTTGTTTAAGGGTTTCGGGATCGCAGTTTTGATTGCCCTGAACATGCGTAGTGGCGTAGTGAGGCCGAAGGCCTGGAAGCCAGAATCCTCCCGAACTAAGTTTCAGCTCCAACCCTAAACCCCAAACCCTAAACCCTGGCTCTTGAAGAGTCTTTACATCCTAAACTCCGAAAGGTTTCTGCGCTTCTCAGCCGAAATGTTTCGCCAGCTCTTCGCCCACCTCCATTCGACAGGCCTTGCATGCAGGAAGGGAGCCAAGCTCCGTGGGTGAGACGCTACTTTGCGGCCTTGCTTTAGGCTTGGTGCCCGGGGCTTTTGTTTGCGTTTTAAGGTTTAGGCTTCAGGGATTTGGGTTCGAAGACTCGGACAACAATCCCGGTGAGGGTTCAATCAACGTTAAGATGTTTCCTGACTATAGCGCAGCTATGAGTGCACTGAGAACCATGTACATAGCGGTTCATCATTCGTGGCATTCTTCCGGGAACACTTCAAGCCAGGATGCTTTGTAAGGCACCCTCGGAAAAGCGAGGCCCTGCTGCCCATCCGCAACCCAGGCACCCCAATGCAACCCGAAACAGCCCTCTGCTACAATCAGTGGCACGACTCAGAACTCGAGGCCGAACACCGTGACGATGCCTCAGCGAAGGTTGACTGCTTCCGACTTCCTTCACGGTTGTGAAAAAACGCAAAGTCAGAGATCGAAGCGGAAGCAAGGATTTCGTGGATGCAGGAATGAGGATGGTCGCCGGAGACTTCGTAGAGGCTGTAGTGCTATTGAGGGGTCATCGTACTTCTGAGGGTGGTAGTGCTGGCAGTGCTGGTGGTGGTTGGTGGGGCAGGCGGCGGCGGTGACGAGCACAAGAGAGGTGGTGGCAGAATTAATAGTAGTAGTCGTCGTCGTAGTAGTAGTAGCAGTAGTAGTAGTAGTAGTAGTAGTAGTAGTAGCAGCACTGATAATCCTAGTAGTAGTTAGTCGTAGTCGTCGTTAGCCAGCGGTGTTGCCGTCGCAGTTGTAGGAAGAGAAGAAGGAGGACGAGGAGCAGTAGCAGCAGCTATGGGGCTGGTCGTGGCAGCAGTACAACCAGTACAGCCGCGCCACAATACATGGACTTGTTCACCACATCTTTGGACCTCAGCTGAAATGACATGGCTTAGGGTCGAAGACTTGGCACCAAAAGGAGCCACAGTCGTTTGCACTCGTTGGGGCTACGGGCGACGGGTCCCAAGCATATTGTCACAGAGCCGAAACATCACCCAATTCAAGACTCAGTGCGCGAAGCTCTTGCCAAAGACTGCGTTTGTCTGCCTAGCCCCGAAGTCTACAGACAGCGTCAGATAAGAGCTTGCCAAGGGATTCCAACTACAGAAACCGGGAACAGCCAGAAAGCCATGGTTCTTGAACCTATGCTAAGGCCGACGAATTCGACGCCACCCGAAGACCCAAGCTGAACCCATTGCAGCATGGCGAACCTTTCCAGCCCTTGATTGAAGCGCTGTGATTTAGGAACCGAATTAAGAAACCCCGGCCCTATAACACCAAAATGCTAGGATGCACCTAAAGAGCCCCAACAAAGGTTCGGGGGTGTCTTAATCAGGTCTCGAGATAACCCTCAGTCTGAAGCCCTGAACACCAGAAGCGATATCCTAGAGCCTGACCGCTACGTTCCGCCACAGAAATGCTGCCGCAAAGCCGTAAACCTTTTAAACAAAAACAACCCAAACAGCCTTCAACAACCTTAGATCCTCAAAACCACATGTAGAAAACCCCCCTGAAATCACTTTCGACCCGGCAGTGTCGCAAGACCTTCTCTCAGAGAGCTCAATATCCCTGAAGTACAGAATATGGTTTGAACCACAATATCATTAAGGTCCCTATAGTTTACCTAATAGCCTTTACCCAACTCCCCTTAAGTACGGAATATACTTTGAACCACAATACCATTAAGGTCCTTATACTTTACCCAATACCCATTAAGTACAGAATGCACTTTAAACCACACTTTCTCATTAAGGTCCCTATAGTTTAAGTGCATTATCCTGTTTAAGGGGTACCTAAACCCTAAACCCTAATACCCTAAACCCTAAACCCTAAACCGTAAACCCTAAACCCTAAACGGGTACTGGGCTCTCTGAGCTGGAAGTCTTGAGGGCCCGGCTTCTCCCTGGGCCACACATAGGTGTAGACCTTGAGCATATGGCGTATGGCGCATGGTGTAGGGTTTAGGGCTTAGGCTTAAGGTTTAGGTTAGGGGTTTACAGTTCAGGGTTTAGGATTCAGGGTTTACTGTTCAGGGTTTAGGGTTCAGGGTTTAGGGCAATCTTTCTCTCGTTGATTCTGAGGTATCGGGATGACTTGTAGTGGCCCATGAGGATACCTAAAGCCTTCTATGCAGTTCTGCCGAAACAGTTTGGGATTTCAGAGCTCAGACCTTACTTAAGGTTCATCGCTCATGTCTCTACATGCTATGAGGGGCAGTTGCGGACTTGCTGCAATATTCATCAGCGGCGGCGCGGGTCTGGTTTCTCGATTTTCCAAGCAAAGCTGAACAGGCCATTATAAGGGCCTAGACATGCCTAAACAATTGGGTATGGGGTGTGTGTGTGTGTGTTGTAGTAGTATAGTCCACGAGCATACATGGGCAATATAGGAAAGACTGTGTTGTTCAGACCATGCTAGTATATGTTAAGTGAATCTGTTAGTATACTGGGCACAGTGGAGGTCTGGGGTGCCTTTGCGGGCTCCGGACGACCGCACATGTCTTCGGAAACCCGTATGGATTGCATGAATAATGTTCTCGTCAGTTTAAAGCCTTGTGTTTGGGATTTCCGGCCAATGGAGAGATCAAGGCTTCCGGTTAGCCCGAAGGTGCGTGATTTAGGGTTTGTGCTTGAGGGCCTACGAGTAAAGACTGTGTGTTCGATGGAACAAGGTACATGGGAAGTCGCCTGTATTGTTGGTGAGGAATAGAAATGTGCAAACTTAGTTGGGGCTTCGGGTCTCGAGCACGATGTTGTTCTGAGGTTCTGAGTTTTGCGAGTTTATTGGCTGCGGCTACTTGCCAGAAGCTTTCACGGGCAGCAGCCTATGTATTTGCCAAGAGACCCCGTCGTTCCCAGCGTCCCAGAAGCAAGAGGTAGCTGTGTGTAAGCCAGCACCTCTTCAGCAACTGGACAAAAAGCCTAGGACTCGGTCCCACGACACATATGGAGCAATATAGAGGCCTGAACGGTGAGACTACTGTTAGACTACGGTGCTACAGGGTTCCTGGGTTCGAAAGGGTTTCTATAATACGGGTTTGGTATAGCGGCCTTAAAGGCTCGAAGAGGGTTGTGGGCATAACAGAATGTATAGGGACAGTGAGATCATGGCTTTCTTACTCTTGGTTCAGACTAGTAAGCGGCATGACCCAAGTTTTAGTCGGCATGTAATGCTAGCGTTGCGGAGTGTGTTCGAGGCCATGGAACATACGCAAAAGCGTGAAAGACGGCAGTAGCGACCTGAGCAGTCGCAGCCTCAACAGCAGTGGCAGTGGCAGCAAGCCGAAGCAGCAACCGCAATGACAACGGCAGCAGGAGGAAAAGTTAGACCACCAGCATCAATCAGAAACTGGCACCCGGCAGCGGCACCGTCAGTATCTTCATCATTCCCTCTTCTGTGGGGGAAATACCCCTGAGCCTGAACGCAAATCATGCTCGCCTACAGCCTGCATAGATGAAAACTTAGAGAAACACGGTATTGGCAAGTTGAAGTTGCTCAAGGGGCCCTCGTCTCAAAGAGCCCTGCTTTCCGTCCATCACCTGCATGCTATACCCTTAACAAGACCCCCCCGCAGGAAGGCCAGTAGCTTTTTCAAACCACACCTCGAATCTGCAAAGTCCATCATTCACGGTCGTAAACCATCCTACAAGCACAACCTGAGGAGCTGACCGTTTCTCTGCATGATAATGCCTTAGTCAAGCCGGGTTGAGATTGGGCACAGTATTTTTCGTGTTGAGTGGCTTCTTCATGCATGACCTCTGCAAAGATATGGTGCCATACCACAGCACACCTTGTGCCCATTGCGGCAACTGCCAAATTATTCAGTCGTGGGGTGAGCACTCTTGCATGAAGAAGCCTTTATGAGACTCTTCAGCACTTAGCACAACTTGCAACACTCTAGCCTCTGAGCGTATCTCGGAAATTCCTGGCACGCTGGTCGTTTTCTTGCTTGTCAAAGGCGCTCCGCCAGAAACATAACAGAGACCGGTTCTCCAAGCGCAGGCAAGGAGCAGGATACTACGTACTTGAAGGGCTTCTTCTGCTCACTCCTGGCTCAAAGCACACGTTGCACAGCTCCGCCAGGGCTTCGGGTTTGCAGGGTTTAGGGTTTATGTACGGTTTGAGGTTCTTGGGTTGAAGGTGTGTATAGGTTTAGGGCTTTAAGCTGCAACCAGGCCACGAATCCCGGATACCTACTCCGCAGACCAAGACACTTCTTTTTCTGTCATGCAGTCGTCACTTCGCAGCTTCTGGAGGTACTGGCTGTTGCGAGCCTGAAGGGAAGCAACGACTTCGTAGCCGCCTGTGCTTGACTTCACGCTGGCCAGGTCCTTTCGCCTAATGAGGTGGACCTTGCAAGCTCAGGGTTTGGGGGTTGACGGCTTCATGGTTCAGCTTCCCTGACTGGCCTAGATAGCAAAAAATCACAACCGGCCGAACCTTTATATATTTTAAAACTGCGCATGCGTCTCAAACATAACCAGTAACACAATAACAAAATTAGGTTGCTAAGAAAAGCGGAAGAGGCTGTCGGGAACGGTGCCTGATGCATTTGGTTGTCCACCAACAGCTCGGCAGTTTTCCTCGGAACACACAGGCCGAAGCACTGTGCGATCCATGTGACTCTCGGAAGCATTAATGCAACACTTTACGCCAATGAAGAAGAGTACTGCGCACTATCCAAGGTTCCATGCTGGAGTCAGCCAATCTGACGGCACCCACTGCAGCACTCCATCATCGAGAAAGCGGAGGCCGATGCGCCGAACACCCACTTCCTTCGGATCCATGGATTCAACTATGGCTGGCAGAGCCTTCCTGCTCTTCTCCCCGTCCACCTCCTGGCTTGAGCTTGTGCATAGTTGCGTAGATGTGAATATATGTATATGTACATATATATATATATATATAGATGTAGGTATATAATAATGTGTGTCTTGCTTGCCTGCTTGCATCTATATCTACATCCATGTGCGTATATAAACATATATATATATATATATATACATACATAATTATAGATATATCTATAATATATATATATATATATACACATCTTGCACGGCATTCTGCACAATATCGAGACTATGTTTTTTAAACATGCAATTCCTGCCGTGCACCTCGTAGTGGGAGCACACCTGGGCGCCCGGAGTGACCGAAGAGGCCAAAGTGTGCCAGCGGGCAAAGCGAGGATGGAATGCAACCAGCGACACCAGATCCTCTACAGCCATTCTTGGTACGCTCTCTCTCTCTCTCTCCCTCTCTACCTCTCCCTCCTTCTCAGACACAGATGCGCTCTCCCATGCTCACATGCTCAGCCGATTCTGTTTACATGACATCAAACTCGCTGAGACCGTGGCGATTCTCCTGGGGCCCAGAAGGACTGGCGGAAGCTTGACAGACCCTGGGGATCCCAAACCCTACGTTTGGATGTAGGGTTTAGGTGTTTAGGGGTTTAGGGTTTAGGGGGTTGGGGATCTGCTGGCACATGGCCAACCAATTGGGACACGACGAACTGGGTGGAAGGCATTCCCTCAGCTTGCCTCCAAGTCGTCCAAATGATTGCTTCTCGCCACCCACGCATCAAATGCATGGAAGTCGTCCCGCCACGACCTTGGCTGTCCATGATTGACGAAAACGGTGGCAAATAGTATATAAGTTCTAAACCCACACACATCTGCAACATTTACCACACGTATAACCGTCATAAATTCCACTCTCCCGAACAAAATGGGCTTTGTGTGTTTGCAAGCGTTGAAATCCTGGGCTGAGCATGCATGTGAGCCTATAGACCCTGCTGCCGACCCGGAGTCTCCACTGTAGTTCCCTAAGTTCTCTCACTGTCTCCTAAAACCCTAAACCCGAAACCCTAGACCCCAAACCCTAAATCCTAAACCCTCCTAAACCCTGAATCCTAAACCCTAAACCCCTAAACCCCAAACCGGGGATTAGGGGTTAGGGTTTAGGCGTCTAGGGGTTTAGGGTTTAGGGTCTAGGGGTTTAGGGTTTAGGGCTTTAGGGCTTTAGGGCTTCTTTCGCCCGAAAGCTGCAGATACAGTAGTACGTTAATTGGTCACGACTAAAGGGTTTAAGGTTTTAGGGTTTAGGGTCACTATGAATGTACTAGTTTGTTAATGTTCACCTATTGATGTGAATATACGATTCATACTAACATCGTATAAAAAAAGGTTTAAGGTCAGGGTTCAACTCTTGCTGCTGCGCAAATCGGGTGAGGCGTCTGCTCCACGGAAGGATGCATGTCCCTAAACCCTAAACCCAACATAGGGTTTAGGGTTTAGGGGTTTAGGGTTTGGGACTCTGAGCTCCAAACACCCAAACTCTATAGGTTAGCCACCTCCTTCGCTCCTTAAGCGTCAGGGGCTTGGGGAGTGCTTGTGTCACCTCCTTGTGCTCTTTTTGGTGCAGCTGCTGTCGGTTATACACCCTGCATCTGAACCCTAACACTCTCAGGCCGAAAACTCTGGACCCACCCAAATGCCCTAAACCTCATCTGCGGGCAAGCCGCAGCACGCGCGGGCACACGACCAGAGACGTAGCCCAGGGGACCTCGAAAGGCGGTTCCAGGATTTAGGGTTTAGGGTTTAGGGGTTGGGGAGACAAAGTTTAGGGTGTAGCGGTTTAGGGTTTAGGGGTTTAGGGTTTAGAGGTTGAGGAGTTTAGGGTTTAGGAGTTTAGGGGTTTAGGGTTTGGAGTCTGTGGATTCAGGCTCCGCAAGGCTTTTCTTTGTCGTGGGTGTCCTGTAAACGGGATGGATGAAAAGCGCTTTGGGGTAAAGTAAGCGGTTCTTAAACAAGGCTTTTCTAAAGAAACCGGTAGTGTACCCATAGGCCCCATAGTAGTTCCTTTTGGGGTTACCGTATAGGAGTCTATAGATGAACCCCCAAAAGGGAACTGCTATGGGGCCTACGGGTAGTGCTTCTTTGGAAGATTCGGGTTAACGAGAGTGCCTGTTTTGCTCAGGGACTTTAAGGGTTCTCTAGGGGCTTCATGTGGCATTAACATATCTTGACATCTTTAAGGCGTGGGGTCTTTGGAGGTCTAGTTTTGAATGTCGAGAGTAGGGATCCGCATGAGAACTGAATCAGTTCCGCATCAAGAGCCAAGTCTGTGTCACAGACTTGGCTTGCTCTGAATTCGGCTCCCCTCTTTAGCGTGTCTATTTCGTGGGCCGCTTACAACGAACAGATGTTCGTGCATCACAAACGGTCTCGTCCGGAGACGCCCAAGAATCAGAACAGCTTTTACATGAGTCAAGCCTCCTACTGTACTTGTGAAGCGCATCTGCATGGCAGAGCTCGCCCAGACACTCCAAAGCCCTTATACGAGTAAGCAGCATACACCCTCAATCAGACTCAGGATCACTGCGTGGTTTGCGGTATCTTGCTTGACTACGTGCGGGACTGGGGAGTCTCTGGATACGAAACGAAGAACATACCAAAGCAATCGCTGGAGGCCCGTTGTCGCGTTTTGCTATAGATGTTGCAGTTAGGGCTTAGCCCACCGGGCTTCAGCCTTGCCTCTTCACTATGCAAGATCGTTAGCAACCAGGAGAGGCACGTTTATGTAAGGAGAGCATGACTACGAAGAAGCATAGTGAGAGCACCTGGGGCAACCATGATCATGGCCATCACCAGTGTCATTATTAATTGTCAGCCTCGTCACCATCATCATGTTCACCATTGTCATCCTCACCCTCATTCGCAAAATCAAGTGCATGGAGCTTTGTGATAGCTTTAAGGCCAGCAGACGAACGGGACGCGGGATGCGCGACGTGAAGGTCATACTATCTAATACAATATATAATAAGGAACCCTAAGGAATAGTAGCCCTAACCCCAAAAGCTCATACTCCACCCTCAGAAGGAATAAGATTGGTAAGTAGAACCCTATATTCACACCTTACGCCAACAAGTCAACGAAGGGCTCATCCCTTGAAGGATCCCACACTCCGATGAGATCCTTTGGGTCAAGGCAGGAAGACCCATGGGGTTTTAGAGCGCTAAGGGCGCTAAGGGGGGCGCAGGGGCTCAGGCGTTTCGAGGGGGTTGAGGGCTTTTTGCCTCCTACGTAGCAAGGACGGTTGAGGGCTTTCGAGTTTGGGGTTCGGCGTTGGTCCGAAGCCCTAACCCTAAGATTCCATGTACCCAAATAGGAGACACTTTGGCCCCAAAGTACCCAAATAGGGACTACTTTAAGGCCAAAGTATATACCATTTAGGCCCCTTATACTTACTATGAATCCCTACAGGGTACATGAGCCTTAAGGCCTTTTAGGGCTCTTTTCGTCTCTAACCCTAAACCCTAAACCCTAAACCCTAAACCGTGGCTGTAAGCTGTCCGAGGAGCTCTCCGTCGCGCGAGGCGCCTGGCCTCAGACCTCACCACGGAGCCTACGGCTGAAGGCGTGGTTGCCTCACACGACCTCGGAGTAGGGCTTCAAGGGTTTAGGGTTTAGGGTTTTAGGGTTTAGGGTTTAAAGTCTCACAACTCGGACAAGCCAGGCGAGGATCCATATGTGCGCAGTGCTTAGGGTTTAGGGTTTAAGGCTTTTGGGGTTTAGGGGTGGGATTGCTTGGGGCTTTGAAGGTCTGAGGGTTTGAGAGTTTGGGCTTTGGGGTTTCAATGAAACCCCCAGAGCCCAAGCCCAATTGAGGGTTTGAGGCTTTGGGGGACTAGGCTGGGTCCACCAAGCTCAAACAGATACTTCGCGGCTCGCCAGGTGGTTGGCGTCCCATTTTTGATTGAGGCGTTGGCGCTTGTAGGATTACCTGTCTTCTGCTTTCGAGTCTCTGACTTTGCACCCTGTGCTTGCAGTTGCAATTATAGTTGTAATGGTGTGCTTGAGAAGGGAGTCGCGAGTGGAGAGGAGGAGGACGTAGTAGTCGCCGTCGTTGTCATCGCTGTCATGGTTCTCATGTGGACCGGCCAGGATAAAGCCGCGACGGTTGGGTGCACCAGAAAGTCTGAATCCCTTGTGACTGCCCCTTTCAAAGTTGTGTTGAGGCAACTGCATGGCAACAAGCTGCGGTTCTGTTCGGCTTAAGTCTTCTACTTGCGTGTAGAAAGACGGCGAAAGGTGGAGTGCCATGCGACTATATCCGCTGCATTCATTGCCTATCAGGGAGCAGATAGGTGATGACATCGGCTTGCTGCGCCAACTGTGCCCAAGGGCAAAGCCCATGATGCAGTACGACCTGTCAGCATTTCGTCTCACAGGGGTAGGATCTAGCTTGGCGGATTGAAAGGTTTTGAGGTTTTCCAGGTGTCGACAACCCTAAACCCTTGGCGGTGCAGGCATCTTACCCCTAGCTCAACCCCACACACTCATGAGCTCCGACCCCACCGGTGAAGCACCGGGGTCAGTGCTGGGCGTAAAGTCCGAAGGTTGCGTCCATTGCTGGCTGAACTCACAGGTAAATGTATGGCTCGAGTCGCCTCGAGCTAGCAAAGCTGCTCCACCACAACCAAACAAAGAGGGAACGAGAAAGTGCATCGTAGTATTGCAGTTAACTCTCTTGTTATGCTTCTGGGTGCGGAGCAAGCTGGCAGCATAACGGGTAGTATCTCTAGCTTAACCCTAAACCCTAAACCCTAAACCCTTTTGATCACAACTGTCAAGCGAAGCTGTAAAACTGTTCATCCCAGGGCATCGTGGATCGAACCCATGGCCTGGTTCACCCAAGTCCTCACAGCCTCCACAGCAGTGCCGCCGGGACGCGCCATGGCTTGTTGGCAGGCTTTTTTTTCGTGGTGTCTTCGTACTTTGAAACATTACTATGACATAGTATAGTACAAAATCAGATACACTAGTGCTTATCATCTTACGTTCTGCTCTATCATCTTATCTTATACTGTAGCGTAGTATATGACGGGTCTACAGGCGCAGCCATCTGTAGGGCTCGGGGCTGGTGGGTTGAAACTCCTCTGACCTACACTTGGTGACGGTACCCCTGGTTTATATGATGATGTACATGTGTATATATACATAGGTATGTAAGTATGCGCGCAGGTGGAAGAAATTGGATCAAGCAATGAGCAATCACAACTAAAGACCCTGACCTTGTACGGGGTGGTGAGGGGGGCCCCTAAAACCTCAACCCAGGATGTGACTGTGCTCAGATCGAGTACAAGTGTCCATGCACCCAAACCCCAATAGGGTGTTTCTTAATGTTTCTCAATACGTACTTCATTGGATCATTGGGCGTTCCTTGTACTCAGAATCATACTGACCTATTGTTTAGCGCATGCCCGGAAAACTGAAAACGAGGTCACACCGCATAGCCACCCAGAAAATGGACGGGCCTGAGTAGTCAGATAATCGTAATGGGGTACACTTGGAATCAAGTCCGGCCCCTGTGCTACATTCAGCACTTCCACACAGACTTGCCAAATGGAGCAAACATGACTCTGCATCGAATCGTGCCGGGCAGGCAATCTGGCCATAATGCTTTCGCCTCGGTACAAGGCAGCAGCTCTCGTGCGGAGTCTGGCACCCGACAGCCCCAGCCACAGCAACCACGAGCACAAAAGCAAGGTCTCATCCGAAAGTTTCACATACCGCACCCTATGCAATCCTATCAGGACCCCTTTTCCCAACGAAAAGCCATGACGGATTATCGCTTCAATTACGCACAATTGCGCAGGACTTGGCATTGCTAGTCTCCTTCTCCAAACAGGCCCACACCAGACTCAGACTCAACCACAACGAGGCCCAGCACAGTTTGACGAGTTCAGCTGGGCAGCAAATCTCATTTATCCAGTGAGGCACCATTTCCTGACAGGACAAGGCGGCAAGGCAGTCTCGAAAGTAATTTCTCGAACATGACGGCGCAGAATGGTCCCAAATGGAGACTGATGTAATTAAAATGATGAACCTTTCACCACAGATACCAGTGGTAGTGGCAACAGAATATGGACTGCTGGGTTTCGCATTGCTGCTACTAGACCAATGCTGGTGTTGAGATTGCCATCGATTCGACGATTGTACTCGCTTCTACCTGTCCTACTACTACCTGGTGATGCCATTCTGTGTGTCGTTGCTACTACATGACTCTTACTTTATTATTACTATACTACTAAATCTGGCTAATCTTGCCGGTGTTGTTTTCCGGGTTTTGCTGCTTATGGTGTTATGCTTTTGTGTGCGCTTTTTTCAAGGGGGTAAGTGCAGGATTTAGGACTTTACGGGCTCTATGGGTGTTTTGCTGTTCTACACATAGGCTTGAGTTCACACTGTGCGAGATCATAGGGCTTCACGGGGCCAGAACACGGTTTATAAGCGGGGGCAATGAAGAGACCACGGATGAATGCCAAGATACTACCGGAGTCAGGAAGCCAAGATAAGCGCTAGATCCGAGACTCTGAGCCCAAGATCAAGGTTCTGGGGCTAACATCCCAGACTCCCAGCCCTGGTAATATAGGTGCTCTGATGATTAGAATAGAGCTTCGGGTATACTAGACTTTCGAAGTGACCAGGAGCCTTAAGAAAAGTTCTGCGAAGCATTCCGGCCTCTAGAGTAGCTCTAGGGCCCTCGAAACAGCCACTTGGCAGCTACATGATATCCAGGCCTGCGGGTTTCTGTGTATAGGGGTTTGGGTTCAGGGTTTCGGTTTTTCACATCCCGTCGGGTTTTAGGACTGTGGGTTGCTTAGGGTTTACAGAATCAGGGCTCGAATGGACTTTGTGTTTGGGGCTGGACGAGCCAACAGCATTCGCAGCAGCAGCGGAAGCTTAAATAAAGGGGGGGTAAAACTCTACACCTTAAACCTCTTAGCCCTAAACTGGCTCTAGACCCTGGAACCCCGAACTAAAGCCTAAACCCGAAAGTGCGTGTCCGGACCTCCTGCTAAGGGAAATCCGTATTGACAGTTGAAATGACAATGAGACCCTAAAACCCCGACCCTAAACCCTAAAATGAGACCCTCAAACCTAACCCCTAAACCCTAAACCCTAAACTCTGAACCCTAAACCCTAAACCCTAAACCCTAAAATGAGACCCTCAAACCCCCGAAGTCGGAAGGCCTCGCTGTACTGGTGCTCCTTCAGGTGCAGGTCGAGGGTCTCCATGCAGATCCGCTCTACCTCGGCGTTCGGCAAAAGGGTTCAGGGTTTAGGGTTTGGGGTTTAGGGTTCAGGGTTTAGGTTCTAGGGCTGAATAGGCGTTCGGCAAAAGGGCTTTTGGGCTCTACCTTAAAAACCCAAAACCCACTGTTTTTGTAGGTTCTTACTATAAACCCTAATATGGGATTTATAGGGACCTTACAAAAAAGTAGGTTTTGGGTTCTTAAGGTAGGGCTGAATAAGCTTTAGAGCCGAGTTTAGGGTTTAGGATTTATATAGGGCTATTTCACGGGTTTCTATGTCTTTAAAGGGGTCTAGGAGTGTTCTACAAAAGGCTTTCGGGGTTTAGTCTTTCTTGTTGACTTTGTTGGGACGAGGGCTCTGTTGCACTCAAGAACGCCGTGTTTATCAGTGTGTCCCAAGTGGTCAATGAAGGCCCGGCAAGCCCTTCTGCGAGGAGCTCAGAACTTAAGCGCTTATAAGGGGTTTAGGGGTATAGGGATTAGGGTTTAAGACAGCTGTCTCTTTCAACGCTGGACTCGTCACAACATGAACGCTGAAGCTGCAAGAAACGGGATCAGATGGGAAAGAAGTGAACGAAAGGTATTCGTGTGATGATTCGATCTCGGGAGCAGCCCGTGCACACACTTTCCATGGCAGTGTATGCAAACAAGCTCTGGTAAACTCCGCACCCTCCACACTTCACCTGAAACACGAAGTACACCCCCATGCCCCAGCCCTTAATTGCCAAACCCCTTCTAAACCATAAAACCCCAAACCCTGAAGTTTTCAAAACCCCCTGAGGCGCCCTTGTAGAACCCTGCACGCAATCCTTCCGGCAGGCGACCCCCAAAAACCTTACGAAACCGAATACTTCTGGTTCTTAAACCTATACCAAACAGAACACTGTGCGAACTCTAGGTCTTAATATTTGGAGTTATTTGGGGTATCTATACAAAGGAGACCCAAGGAATACCATCATCAACCGTTCCGACCCAAAAAAACCCTAAACGGCCCTGAACCCTAGGCCTTTTTTTTTTCTTGAGCCCCTTAAACCCTAAAGCCTAAACCTTAAACCCTACCCATAGGCCCTAAAGTAGTTCCTTTTGGGGCTTAGCCTATAGGATTCTATATATGAACCCCAAAAAAGGAACTACTTTAGGGCCTATGGGTAAACCCAAACTCTAAACCCTAAACCCTAAACCTTAAACCCTAAACCCTCAACCCAAACCCATTTAGGGCCTATGGGTAAGGCAGCGCATGGTCTGACTCTGCCCCCGGCGTCATCCTGCACCCAAGCGGAGTCCTGGCCACTTCGGGAGCGAGTGACACGCGGTGTGCCATGAATTTATGGCGGCAAGGCTTATATACGTGTTTGACTATATATAGGACTTTATGATAAGGGCCTTTTTATATATAGGGCTTTATGATAAGGGCCTCAATAACTGATGAAACTAATGGCGTTGATATGTGTTGATCTGTAAATCATGACCATAGGGTTTGTGTGTTCCCGCAACAGCGTGGTACAGACGTTGGGGTTGAAGAGACAAGAGAATACGTCAGGCCGCCCGCATATCCATTTCAACTTCATGCAAAACTCCAGTACACTGACATCCTCTTGGCCTCGAAATCCCCGAATCCTGCGAGCACTTGAAGCAGGAAAGATTGTTGGCCGTTAAGCCAAATTATTCTGAATCCCGCCACTAGGTGGGATAAGCATGGTCGCCACGTCGCTGGCCGCCTGTAGAGTAGAGAAAGATTCAAGCTTTGGCCATGCTCCTGAATCCCGCCACTAGATGCGAGGATGCATCGTTGTTGTGTCTGTGAATGCGGTCTCCGGGTTTCCTGGTGGTCTGCTGTTGTGTCCTCGTGCTCCTGATGGCCCATCCATGGTCTTCGCGCGGTCATAAACCAAAAGCCCTAAACCTTGGTGGTCCCGGTCGTTGTGGTCGTCCTGGTCGTAATTAGGGTGGTCGTCGTCGTGATCTGGTCTATCACTGCTTGCGGATCGGCACTAGCACTGGAATCATGCCCCTTCTCATGATGGTTCAAATCGGTTTCTGATGGTGTATGATAGGTCTCCCTAAACCCAGACACCGCCAAACCCTAATTAAACGGCTTAGAGTTGGAGTCGACCTCCCCTAAAAGAAGGCTTCAGCGATCCAGGTTCCCTCGTAACCCTATCATAGTAATAATAATCATCATAGTGATAGTAGGGACAATAGCAATACTAATCAGAATAAGACTGGTCACACCAATAATGCATAACAAGAACCATGATAACTACAAGAAGAAGAATAACCATGGTAAGGACAACCAATATATTACGGTTAGTGCTACTATTGCCAGCATTGCAAACGTTATAATGTGTGCTTGTATTCAGGATTTAACGAGGCTTTGTAAAAAGGGTGTGAAAAGTGGCTCGAGCAGGGCCAGGTCGCCTGCCTAAAAAGCCTAGAAAACCCTAAGAATCCCTACTTACTGATTACTCTAAACCGTAAACCCCTAAACCCTCAGATCCTAAACCGTTATAAAGCTCGAACGACCCACTTCTCGAAGCAGAGCCCCAAGCCTCTCGGCTTTACTCCTCTCAAACTCTCCCCCCTATCCAGTGTTCCATGGAGGTTACCTTAAATCCTGATGAAGCATAGACTAGAATTTTAGTTATTCAGCCTCCTTGATTAGTCCAAAACACCCCGCATATGCCAGAACGCCTTGAATATATTCTTAGAGTCGTAAACCCTGGATACCTGCACCCGAAACTCCCGTTGGTGCGTCTGGTCTGCAACGCCTCAAGTTCCTAAGCAACGAAACCCTGACTCACTGAACTACCTAAGGGACTGCATCCTGAAAAACCCAAATCCAGAAAACAAAAAATCACCATGACCATAAAACACGCAACGACTACAAAAAGCGAAAAACATGCTCGGGTTGACACCAGCATATCTGAACAGGGTCGTTTGGGTGGGTTTCAAAAGAGCCTGAGCCTGAACTCAGAGGCCATGGCGACTGACGTCGCAACTGCAATCCCGAATCGGCCTTCAAATCCGAAGAAATTCTCAAACAGTCAGACCTGAATTAAAAAAAGTTGAACCATATCTCTTCTGTCTGAAAATCTCTTTGTTTTCTTCTTGTGATACTCAAAGAGAACGATCAACTGCCCCTCCCGTCTCCCCCCCCCCCGCCCCCCAAACGAGCTCTCCAAAAACAGTGTCCACCCCAAAACCCCCAGCTGAGCCTGTTTCCTATGATTGTCCTATGCGATGGTTCCTAGTTCCTAGCCTTTGGGACTTCAGGAAGTCTGAACCACTGAGATTCTTTTCTGGTAAGAACCACGTATCCCCCCGAATCCCCCCGAATGGGTGGGGAAAATCCCTGCTACCGAACTTAAACACACCCTCCAAGCCTTATTCAGCTCTTTCAAGACTCGGTACACTTCCAGCAGAGAAGCTATTTAAGCGCTGCCAGCTCTTGTTTGAAGGGTGGCGGGTCCGAAAATCCCTTCATATTTGGCGTCCTTAACTCAAAGAACCCTTAAGAAGGACACCTGGGTTGCTCAAGCCCTCATTTAGGGGTTAGGGTATTTCGTTATGGGACTTATAGGTTTTACAGGGCTCACAGTCGAGTTTAGGGTTCCAGGGCCCTTTTTGCCGCTCACACTCGGACAGAGTTCAGGGCATCTAGTGTTTATAGGGGTTTTGGGATCCTAAACCCTTTTCAGCATGGGCTTGGATTGTGTGAGAAGGATCCTGAACCCTAAACCCTAAACCTTAAACCCTAAACCTTGGGTGCTTCCCC